ACGCCGGTTGAGGAAACAGGGGCTGAGGATTTAGCTCAGAGGCATAAGCGCCTGCCTTGTAAGCAGGCAATCGCGAGTTCGATCCCTGGTACCGATAAAAAAAAAAAATAAATAAATAAATAAAAATAAATAAAATAAAATAAAATAAAAAACAAAAAGGGGGAGTAAGCCAAGGCCTGCCTCCAAAGGCGCGGTTATCTATGGCATTATTCACATACAATTTTTTAAACAGTGAAAATTGCTCCCCAGCTATGGCACATTGTACCCCATCCCCAAAAAATAAAGGATGGGTTAGATAAAAAGATGTCCTGACGGGACAATGGATGGGCCCGGATCCGGTGGTTAGCTGGAACCGAGGCGCGGTTTGTGTCTTTCCGCAGGGACCGGGACGAGAACCACTGTGGGTCCCAGAGAGGTTGACGCGTGCGACAAGTCCCTCGACTGAAGATCAGGCCTGTTCCACCAGAGGCCAACCGCAGACCCAACAACAAGATGAGCCCTAAAAGAACTGCAGGACAATCCCTTTTTGGGGGCCTGGAACGGCTTGCTCCCCTATGTGCTACCCTTGTTAGGCCCTCTATGCTCCTTGTTCTTGCTCCTGCTTATAGGACCATTCTTGCTCCGATGGGTTACATCATTTATTAATGGGCGCCTTGCGGCGGCCCGACGTCAAGTACGCCTGGTTGCCCATGCGGCCCTGGCAGCAGCCCGTGATGGGCACAATGACCCCCAGGCCTACGCATGGCTCGCTCGACTGGCCTACGACCGGGTCTAGATGTGGCGGGTCTTCTGCACTCCTTCCCTATTGACACCACACAGCAGGGTAGGTGAGTCAATGACGGGTAAGAGCGTGCCTCCCCAGCACGACTCGACCTAAGCCAGGCCCTACCCCATACTGCACAAAAGCCGCTGGATTACTAGAATCTGCCCAGATCTAGATGTCTCTCCGAGGGGATCACACGGAGGGGCATGAGTGCATGCCTATGTGCATCCAGGTTCCGTCCAGTTCACTCCTGGCCCTGGAAAAAGGACGAGGGTCTCAAGGCCTTGGCGGACCCAGGGACGGCCGACCAGGGTCCAAGCCAAGGGCCTACGGTGGGCCTCAACACAGGGCATAAGCCTCTGCACTCAATCCAGGGCGGGCTGCGATGCGTACATTCATTCAAAATAAATAAAATAGGGGGAGATGTTGGGAGCCGCGGCCGAGCCCGGTCGCCTTACTTGGCGGACGTGAGGCCTGTAAGAAAGAGCAAAGCCTGAGCTAGATTACCCCTCCCATCGAGTGTGCTAAGATGGCGCTTATCTCCTGCTTCCTGCTTGGTAAACAACCTGCTCTGTAAGATAGTCTGCCTAGCAACAACTGATGTTAGCCAATCAGCCCGCATCGCGCGCTTTGAACTGATTGGCCACTGTTACCCTATAAAAGTGAGTGCCTCTCCCGCCACGAGAGAGAAGCACGGAGAGATAGAGGAAGTCCACCGGTGAAAAAGGACTGGTGGCAGAGCAGAGGCCTCGCGCGGCCCACGCAGAGACAAATAAAGACAAGGTTGCTCACCGTCAGAATTTGTCGTGTGTTCTTCCTGCCGGCCGGGAGCGACACCGACATACACCAGTGTCTTCAAGTGTTCTACCTGTTCCATCTTCCAGCAAATATCATGTTTCTACTTTAGTATTTAGATCTTTGATCCATTTAGATTTTAGTTTAGTACATAAATAAAGATATGTGTCTGGTTTTAAAGTTGAGTATGTGGAGAGCCAGTTTTTCCAACACCATTTATTAAAGAAATTGGCCTTCTTTCAGTGAAGGTAAAAAAAAGAAGAAAAAAGAAATTTAGATGTCCACTTCAAGGCATGTCTGTCCTCTGATTGGTAGACAATGCAGGTACACAGAGTCCAATAGCAAAGAAGCAACAAGCCACAAGTTACAACAGTAACTCTAGCCCCAGCCCCCTCTGAAAACGCCACTCATGAACATATGAGACTTTGGGAAGACATCTGGACATAACTCACAACATGAATCTTAAAAATAATGTGCATATACAAAGTAAGTGACAGAATAATACAAACTGCATGACAGCATTTATGAGAAATCTCAAAATACAAACACAATCCAATATTACTTTTTCCTTTGGATTCAAATGTGTTTATGATAAATTTTTATACTTTCACAATTGCTGTATATGTAATTTTTAAAAATTATTTTAAATTGTAGACACAATTACAATTTTATGATCAGCATGGGTGCACAGTATGAAGAAAAGATCTCTTAATACTTTATAAAACATATTAGCCATTATACTACATAAGTCTCAGCAGACGTTCCATTGAAAAAAACCCTTTAATGTGATTATAAATTAAAGAATATCCAATGAGTGAGGTGGGACACCCTGAATTCAAGTGGATGAGACAAGAGGATCTAATTGCATGAGCTAGGTGCTGGATGCTGTCTCAAATGCAACAAACAGCAGAGAAAGAGGTCTTCTGCACATGAAAAGAGAACCAAAAGGTGGACTCAGGGTGGGAAGCATAAAGATAATTAAGATGTTTCATGCACATGTGGCAACAAAACAGAATGAATGACTCATTACATATCACAAACATGTACAAATAAAAAAGCAAAAAGCAAAACCAAAGTAACAACAACAATAAAACACACACAAATAAAGGATGTTTAATATGAAATATACAACTCAGAAAGCTCACTTCGCTAATCTACAGTGCCTAATTTTTCAGTACACAGAAAGAAAAAGTGAAAAAAGTAAATCAAATCTACCTACTCCTGGCAATAGGAGCTGTGCCAGCAGAGGCCAGTGTGTGAACGCCCTCCTGCTCTGAGTTTGTCTTTCTCTCTTCTTGTTTTCTAGTAGTTTGAAGGGTTGCACCAGAAACTTGGAATAGTACTTATATTTTAAACTTGGAATAGATGGGAGCAGTTGCACAGGACTGAAATATTAGAGGATAAACTAGAATGCAGTGTCCAGTGTGGAGGCCAGCATTACCAAGGACATAAGAGGGAGGAAGAATTAGGAACCTCAGTGACTACTCTGTGGTCTGGTTTGCAATGTGGATTTGGAATTTTACAAAGAATACAGGGAGCATCTGAGCACTGAGGTCCACAGAAGTGCTCAATTATTCCCCTTTGGCTTTTTTTAACTAAATTTTTTTGGAAATTGAAAGTTTGATTTTACTCCTTCAGTAGATGCAATTTGAGCATAAACGGTAATCAAATCTTAACTTATTGAATGTCCAAGCAGAAAATAAATTTGTTTTCGACATCATTTTTTACTATTATTAGAATGGATGTTTGCACTGATGGAACAACCATTTGAGTGAAGGTTTCTTTTTCTGAATCCAAAATAAGAATTGCAACCTTGCTCCAAACTATATACACACCTTTATGGTAAAAACATGGTTGAATTTTGGAATTAAGAAGGTTGATGATTATGCCTCCTAAGAATTTATAACAAAATTAAACTCAGAGTTGCCTGTGCTGTTGTTAATGACAGTCCTACACACTACTGGAGAGATTTCAGAACTGTTCTGTCTAATCCTTCTGATCAAGTCAGGTGAATTTTTCTGAGTTTTCTCTGTAGGGAAGAAAGGAATTCTCAGCATATTTCACATTAGCTTCAGTTTAGGAGCAAGAAAACATTCAAAATACAGAATGCATATCTGCTTTGATACAAGCCCACAGATTTTATCACAGATTATGTTACTAAATTTGGAAATGTCTAACACTTGCTTTGACTACTTCCTTAAATATTGTATTAAGCTTTATCTTTTATCAAATGTCTTCATTTGTCAATGTGGCAACAAGAAAGGGTAAGCAAATGTGTAGGAAGGCAAAAGCTTTCCAACCTGGAGATCACAGCACACTCACCCTTGACCCATTTGGAACCCACACTTCAGAAGCAGCTGCTGCTTTCTCCTGTGGAATCCTTGCCTAGACTGCTAGGGGTGTGGAGCACCGGTTTCCACAAAAGGGGAATCCTGTCCCCTGGTGCTCCCCAGGCTGCCAGGGGCAGTCATGGTCTCCATCTCCTGGGGTACAATTCAGGTCACTGGTTGCTGCTCAGCTCCCAGAGGAGACTTCTTACACGCATAGCAGTTCTTTGATACACCACCCACCAGTCTACTATTTAAACATATAGCAAGTAATGGAATTATTTTAGATCATTTGACTGAGTATTCTTTTCTAATTGTCTATTTGCCTTTTGGATACTTTATATTAAATTACCCACTAAATGACTGAAGCAAATGGAAGCTTGCCATGTACATTACACATGACATGACAGCATGTGTGTAACAAAAACTCAGCTTCCACTTACTGTAGTAGTTAGATATAGTGGTTAAATAACCTTAATATATAATGTCTAAATGGAATAATATAATAGAAAATGTGATAGAGTGACAATTTTAGTATGCATGATATAATAAGTATATTTTTTGCAAGTAAAAGGAATGAAAACCTCAGCCTCTTATTACCTACCTAATATAATACCAAGCCAAATTTTAAAGGAATAATTTTACAGGAGCATACTCAATAACTTCTGAAAGATTTTACTTTTATCATTTAACTCTGAAGTAATTATAATAATTATAAAATTTAAATAGGTCAAAATCCTAAGTAAATAAGAAAGAAGAGATCCTATAATTGTTTTGGATATGATTTGCCTTTCACAGAGTCAAAGACATACATGGGGAAGAATAAATATTTGCTAAATTTGTGACCAGTAACCAGATTAGAAAAGAGTCCACAGATCATCACTCAGTCTGCTCTAAATGGAGTCCCAAAAATATTTTACTGAGGAATATGTTTCAATTAGCTTAATCTGCAGTTCCCCTCAGCTCCAGGTTTAATTCCAACCACCCCCTCAGGCCTTCTTTTGAGGTGCTGTCTAACCTATCAGAGAAAGACAAGTACACAGTAGTCTGAGAGCCACAGACCTCATGGCCTATAAACCTAAGAAACCCCATTTCCTGTTTGGAGGAATAACTAAGAACCCAGCCAGTAGTTAAATTTGAGGCACTCACAGACCATAAACTCTAAGCCTGAGGCACAGCAAAGCAGCCTGTGCAGAGGGATACCAGCCCCATGCTGCTCTCCAGCCTGCTGTGGGTGACTGTAGCCTTCATCTACTCGGGTACGGATGGTGCAAATACGAAGGTTGGACACAGGCATATGGTGCTTCATATGGGGAAGAGAAGGACAAGAGGATGGGAGAAAAGCAAGCAGCCTATGATTTCACCTTTACTTAAGTCCTAAATTACTCTCTTTTGATATTTTATTTAGTGCATCAGAGGATCAGCTCAGTTTTCTGTTTCTTTCTACAGGACCCAGTGTCGCCCAGAAAGTGACTCAAGTCCAGCCAGTCACATCTGGGAGACAAGGAGAAACAGCCACTCTGGACTGTGAATATGAGACACAGTGGAGCTCAGACACTCTTTGGTGGTACAAGCAACTTCCCAGTGGAGAGATGGTGCTGCTCATTTGGAGTACTTCTGGTCAGACCAGAAAAGCTGGTCGCTATTCTTTCGAATTCCCAAAAGCTAACTCAATGAGCTTCATCATTTCTGGTTTACAGATGGAAGATTCAGCCAAGTATTTCTGTGCTATTAGGAGAGGCACAGTGCTTGAAGTGACAGTAGAAGCTGAACAAAAACTCAGGTGCTTCACATGAGAAGGGCCCTGCTGCAGGATCCCAAATGAGCCTCACACCTGCAGATCTCAAACCGGAAAAGGGCACTGTGGTTGCTCCGTCTTGATCTGGATTGGAAGATAAAGTTCTAAATAAAACTTTTTTATGTCTCATTTGGAAACTGTTATCAGGCACATGTTTTGGTGCATCCTGTTAAGAATTTTTGAATAGGTAATAGTGGATAGAGAACATGTATAAAGTCGTTTAACATTATAAACTGCCCAAATAATAATTTTAAGTCTTAATTTCACTTTATAATATTAACTATGTGCATCTAAATGTAGTTATAGGGAATAACAGTGGGAATCTGTTTCTAGACTCTTTCTTTAGACTTTGAGTCAGGTGCAACCACAGAAAGAGAAGCAACTGGGGTAACGTAGCATTGCAGAGTAACAACAGATTCTGCCTTATGCTTTTGCTTGATCCGGAGAGAGGGCTTCAGCAGAGCAAGGCCTTTGGATCTGCACTGGCCTGAACTGATGGAAGCTCAGAGAGACTCACACTGGGGAGAGGAACTAGGATGAGGACCTGGCAACAACTGAACTCCACAAGGACAAACTAAAACTCGTCTGCTTCTCATCTCACCTCCTTGCAATTTCTTTGCTGGGTGACCTCAGGACAATCACTGTCCTTTGCCATCCTGCTACATACATCCTTGTCCCAGGCAAAAGGAGACTGAGGATGCTGCAGTGGGAGGGGAACGAGTTGTGCCAACAACAAGCTAAGCTGGCAGAGAGTCAGCAGCATGCGGGAGCTGCCCCAGGCCTGGAGCCTAAACCTGCAGAGGAGATAAGAAACAGCAGTTGTGTCACATCAACCTCCAGCGTGCTGTACCATTCTACAGCCGGTGCTAAACCACAGGGAAGGAAATCACATGAAATACACTCCCAGAGAGTTCAGCTGAGACAGTTCAAAGGTAAACCTAGTATAGTCATGTGTCCTGCTCATATGACATAACAATTCCTTAGTCTACCAAAGACATCTTAACAGTCTCTCCACAAGAACATAAAAAATAAATCCTTGTGTCCATCTGTGAGGGATGTTTGTGCCTTTCTCTAGCTTAGATGCACTCTCCCACTGATATCTTGCAACTTAAATCGTGATATACAAGGTTAACTTTCATTAGCACATCTAGTGTCTCTGTATGCAGGTAAATAGAAAGACACTAAACCATATTTATTCTCTGTATAAATATATTTATATCAAAATGAAAAGTAACTTCTATATCTCTTGTGGTCTTTGTTTCCACAAATGGTCACGTGATTGCAGCTCATTGTTTAAAACTGTGTTTCATAATCTCTTTGCTGATAGCAAGCACCGCCCTTCGTGGGTGCCCTTGACTTTCTGTACAGCAAGCTGTCAGTCAGGACTGTGCTACTCAGAGTATCATTAATAAGTCCTTCTCTTTCTTTTGGCTGAAGAGTTATAGGCAGGCAAATGAGCATATCTGAACATATTTGTACAAAAAACAATGACCTCTTTGCAACACCCAGACAAAGTTCTGTGATCTTATTCCAGATAAGCACCATTCTTAGAAATGTTGGAAATAATGTATAAATTCCTATTAGAAGCAATAAAAGTCAACAAGAAAAAATATTTTTAAAGTAATTAATTAAAACAATAAAATTTTCAAAATATCTGTCTGTGGACATGAAACATATTTTAACCATTTATCAGTCCAATCATCTAAATACAAGAAGATCAAAAATCGTGTACTTTGTTAATTTGATAAAATAATGTAACAAGAAATATAAAAATGACAATTTTATTTGATAATTTTTCTATGTATTGTATATTTTAAAACATTCACTACACAATGTTACAATCTGCACAGCAGTATCTAGTGTTTTTCTGAATTCTTTTTGCATTGTCTTTCTTTGAATAATACACCTTACACTGTCCTGTTGGCCTTTCACTTTTTTCCATTTGAGGTATAATTTCAACACAACGTGTAATCACTAAACATAATGGTGAAGATGTCAATAATTGATCTCCTGCTGGCATTCCATAGTCTCATGTTTTTCAATTATTTGGTGTATTGGACCTAATCTAAACTGTTAATGAGTTTCTTAATTCTCTTGTTTTGAATAAGTAATGAGTTCTATATTGTTTGGTAAGAAGGTGCTTAAATATTTTACATCAATATTTTCTTTGCCTTTTGATAACAGGGTAGCTTGTTGGTCAATTCTGTCAACACCACCTATCGAATTATTATAATCACTGACCACTATGGAAATTTTGAAAAATATTTTAAACTTTTTTAAGTTTCAAGTCTTCTTTCTAGATCTAGTATTTGTGTGCTAAGAATAACTTCCAGTAAGGAGATGTATTTTTTTGGTCTTTCCATTTCATAACAGATTTTTCTTCTGTTATGCTAATGTTTCATCCTTTTTCAGATTTTTTCTTTTGCAAGTCTTTTGGCACATCCCTCCTACTAAGACTTGGTGTTCCAAAAGTGTCCATTATGTGTTGTAAAAATATCATTGCATTCTAGAGAAGTATAAAAAATATTTCTAATGCACTTACCATTAGAGTTTTTATAGAATGTAGCATAAAATTATTATTTTTAGCAAATAAAATAAACCCAAATTAGTAGAAAAAACAACCCTAGTCATTGTTGGATTTCGCTAGAAACAAACATTAGGAGCAAATACAATGTTCTAAATAAAAATATGCAAAAATAGTTGATATAAAACAATAATAAAAAAGCATATCTGATGCAAAGTATCATCTGACTGAAATGATATCTGCCTAAGCATCCCCCAGACTAGTCAGTAAGTAAAACCAACACACTACCCAGGTGGTTCTTCAGGGTAAACTGCTAAGTGGTTAAATTGTTCTTGTTGAAAGTCACTCTTAAAGCAGGAATACATATCTGTACTATCAAGTGCTCAGAGAGTAGTCCTGAATTGTGACTTCCAAATCAGCTGACGGAACTTAGCCCCTATCTTAGATAGACAGATAGAAAGATACAGGAAGAAGAAATAGGCAAAGAAGAGGGAAGAGGAAGATTAGAGGGAAAAAAGGGGTAAAGAGAAGGAGAGAGGGAGGGGGATGAAATAGAACACTTAAAAATGTGAAAAGTGCACTCTGGAACCCTAAGACAGGAGATACAAATTCGAATCAAGTATAGAATATACCTCAAAAATAAAAATAAAAATAAAAATAAAAATAAAAAGTTAGAATGGAGACTTGGGAACTCTAGCCAGAGGCACACATGGGGCCAGGCTAGACGCCCCCGCCCCCAGGTATCCTGCTGTTTCTACAGACCACCTCGCGGGACGGGAACTCCAGCCGGAGTATCTTGTACTGCAGTGGATTAACCACAGAGTATCAAGGGGAGATTCAGTAAGAAGAACTCAGCAGGCTTCTATCAGTGAGGTGAGTTTGCCCCTAAAATAGGAATAGAGTTTACCATCTTCAGTGAGTAAACAGAAGGAACAGAGAAGCCCCCTCCAGAAGTAGGCCATGGGTGTGCTGGGCAAGTGGGTGGGTGACTTCTTCCTCGACACAGAGAATATGAGATAGCTTGAGGAGGGTGCCAACAAGGCCTCTCCCAATCTGGAGATAATTAAGTAGGCCTGTGGGACGCCCAGAGACACACTAGGGTCCCACGTGAGACAAACACTATAAACAGGGAGATCTGTTGACTCTGAACAACCAGAAGACATAATAACAGCAGGAAATAGGGGTTGATTTGCATCAGTACTCCTAGGATTGTAGGCCTAGGAAGAATATAGGACTCATCCAACAGGCCCTGCAGGGGGAAGTCAGGTGACTGGCCCATGTCTTCATTGTGGGACCCAGCAGTTGGACAAAGAACAACTTTACAGTAGGACCCAAAGATACACATTACCAACACATGACACTAGTGGAATTGAAGGACCAAATATTAACCCAAAAGGGGAAAATGGCAAAATCAAAAAGCAAAATGAAATTTCAAACATCGAGTCCACCAGGAGCAAGTACAGGAGACTCTGAAATAGACAACTTCAAAAGTAACACATTGGAAATCTCTGAAAAGATAGCAAATGAAAAAAAAAAAAAAACCACATGAGACTATAGAGGAACTTAAATTAGAAATACTCTCACATGTAAAGACAGAAATAACAACCTTAGTTAGCAACCTTAGTAAAGGAGTTGCTCAACACAGCTAAACAAGCAATAGGGAAAAAAGTACAGGAGCATGGGAAATTGATTGAAACCTTGAATGAACAATGTAGAAAACAAGCAGAATTCATTAAACAAACTCAAAGAACCATCCAAGAAACAAAAAATTCTATTCAAAGCTGATAAAACAATTTAAATGAAGCTGAGGATAGGATTTCATACCTTGAGGACATGATTGCAGATAGTGATCATAAAAGGATACAACTTTAAAAAATAAAAAAGAAGCATGAAATGACAATCCAGCAGCTTCAAGATGATGCCAAGAGAAATAATAAAAGATTAATATGCATTAGTGAAGATGCAGGAGTCCATGCAAATGACATAACCAAAACATTCACAGAAGTAATAGCAAAAATTTCCCAAACATGGTGAAAATTCTGATATGCAGATAAGTGAGGCATGTAGAATGCCAAACAATCATAACCAACATAAATCTACACTCAGACATATCATAATTAAGATCTCAGACATGCAGTATAAGAACAGAATACTAAAGGCAGTCATCTATCAAGGAAAGCCCATTAGAATCACAGCAGACTTTTCAGTACAAACCCTCAAGTCAAGATGAGCTTGGAGTGAGAAATTTCAAGTCCTAAAAAAAAACAACTTTTAACCCAGACTGATGTACCCAGAAAAGCTTTCATTCAAATTTAATGGAGAAACAAGATACTTTCATGACAAAGAATAGTTGAAGAAATTCATGTCCACCAAATCAATCCTAGGAACAGTGTTGAAAGGCATACTAGATAGGGATAAAAATGACCAAAATCTGCAGAACAACAACAGAAAGATACCACCCGTTAAGACAAGCAATTAAACAAGGGGGGAAAGCAGAAAGCAAACAACTGGAATGTAACATGGCAGAGTCAAACCAGTATATATCATTGATATCAATAAATGTAAATGGACTCAATTCACCTATCAAAATAAATAGGTTGACAGAATGGATCAAGAAACATGATCCCACAATATGCTGTATACAACAAACACATCTGACACAAAAGTAAACTCATAGATTAAAAGTCAAAGGATGG